ATAGCTGCTATGTTTGCCCAGCGGGAATGTGAGAAGTTCCCACCGGGAAAATTCCTCTGGAAAATAACATATTTTCAAGAGGTTTCTCCATAGAAGCGGAAGGGACTAAACCTCATTCACCCCTTACATTTCTTCCATCTCTGGTTTCAAAATACACGGGGGTGACACAAAAAGTAAGGGGGAAATGAGGTTTCTATCTGGATCTCTGGCAGAAGAATGCAGGACAAAATCCACTGGTTTTTCGACTTCCCGCATTATAGATTTTCCACACGTACCCAGTTATGGTTTTCCTCCACTTGCAATATCTGTTTTTCTACACCCTCCCAGTTTTGGTTTTTCCAGACCCTCGCAGTTTTGGTTTTGCACTGCTTTGCAGTATCTGATTTTCCACAATAAAAATCATGTGTTTTTGTAATATTTGTTTGTGTATTTATTATCGAAGCATTGGAACTACAAATTTTTAATGAAGCATTCCCGGGATTTGCTTGGCCGAAAATATCAAACATAATTTAGATATGAATGTAAGACCAGGAATAATAATAAGAGTAATTACCATTATTAGGTCTCCGCACAAAATTAAAGGATCTCTCCAGAAATTATGCCTGGTTTGCCATGGCCGATCATTTACCCTCTGTTCAGTTGTTTTATGTCGGGTATCTATACCAAAAACTATGAGAAGAAAAAATAAAATATGACAAACGCAGGCGCAACACTTCTGGTCCCAAGAAGTCTCAGTCGGCCTGGCTGAAATAAATATAATATTTTGATTAAGTTAAACAACTAAGTTAGTACTGAAGTACTATTTATACAACCATTTAATGAACACCTCACACCATTTACCACTGGTAAAGATTAAAAACATTTCAAGTGTCACTGAAATGCAGAATTTGTGTTGAAGATAGCACCCGGAGGCGTATATTTATTAATGGCGAAAATATCTGTGATACTAACCTTTGTAACGCTGAAATAAAGGTTATAATTTAGATTAAAATTAACTATTTTCACTTTTTTTCACTTTTTCCAACAAATTTAAAAATGATGTGACCCTGCATTATATTCTTGATAATACCATACAAAATGCAGATAAATGTGGGGTAAATTTCGTTGTAAAGTTGGGTCACACTTTGGCGCCGAATAAATATTTAAACAATACTTTTCAGGGACCGTAATCATTAAAGGTTACGTATATTATAGGTATATTAGGCATTTTTCGTGTTATCAATACCACCAAAACGAATTTTTATATTTTAACAACACTTAAAAATGGCTTAGGCCACGATCTGACGAACAAATTATTTTATTTCACGGAAAATGTTTAAAAATGTAAAAAACAACAATAGTTTTCTTTGTAATTTAATGTAATTCCTTGATAAATGTGATCAAATATTTTAATCGTCTTACCGTGGCTTTTCTCTATAATTTGGTTGAATCCCACATTCATCCTTATTATTATTTGAAAAATGTTGAGTAAAATAAATTAATATTATCATTATAGACATTATGATAATAATGTTATATAGTTTAATTTTTTTGATTAACAATTATTAATATTTTTTCTACGAATTTTAAAATTACTAAAAATTAAAACTAAATGTGAGAACAAGTCTTTTGGTTTTGGTGTAAATCATAGGATTTTTTAATATTATAAGTTGGTGATTTTTTTGTTAAAAAATATTATAATCGTAGTGCCACAGAAATCACACAGCGCATAAGTGGCCTGATATTGATGCTACTCAGAAACCCACCCCCATTTAACGCTCAGAAATTATCTAACCCCACACCGCCGCCTGCAAAAAGGAACAGGATTTCAAGAACACAAAAACCAACTTCTCACATTCCCGCTGGGTTGGTTTTTGTGTTCTTGAAATCCTGTTCCTTTTTGCAGGCGGCGGTGTAGGGATAGATAATTTCTGAGCGCTAAATGAGGGTGGGTTTCTGAGTAGCATCAATATCAGGCCATTTATGCGCTGTGTGATTTCTGTGGCACTACGATTATAATATTTTTTAATAAAAAAATCACCAACTTATAATATTCAAAAGTCCTATGATTTACACCAAAACCAAAAGACTTGTTCTCACATTTAGTTTTAATTTTTAGTAATTTTAAAAGTCGTAGAATAAATATTAAAAATTGTTAATCAAAAAAATTAAACTATATAACATTATTCAACCAAATTATAGAGAAAAGCCACGGTAAGACGATTAAAATATTTGATCACATTTATCAAGGAATTACATTAAATTACAAAGAAAACTATTGTTGTTTTTTACATTTTTAAACATTTTCTGTGAAATAAAATAAATTGATCGTCAGATCGTGGTTTAAGCCATTTTTAACTGTTGTTAAAATATAAAAATTCGTGTTGGTGGTATTGATAACACGAAAAATGCCTAATATACCTATAATATACGTAACCTTTAATGATTACGGTCCCTGAAAAGTATTGTTTAAATATTTATTCGGCGCCAAAGTGTGACCCAACTTTACAAAGAAAATTACCGCACATTTATCTGCATTTTGTATGGTATTATCAAGAATATAATGCAGGGTCACATCATTTTTAAATTTGTTGGAAAAAGTGAAAAAAAGTGAAAATAGTTAATTTTAATCTAAAAAACAATAAAAAGGTGAGTGATAAAATGAATTTTGTCTTTTTATAACCTTTATTTCAGCGTTACAAAGGTTAGTATCACAGATATTTTCGCCATTAATAAATATACGCCTCCGGATGCTATCTTCAACACAAATTCTGCATTTCAGTGACACTTGAAATGTTTTTAATCTTTACCAGTGGTAAATGGTGTGAGGTGTTCATTAAATGGTTGTATAAATAGTACTTCAGTACTAACTTAGTTGTTTAACTTAATCAAAATATAACATTTATTTCAGCCAGGCCGACTGAGACTTCTTGGGACCAGAAGTGTTGCGCCTGCGTTTGTCATATTTTATTTATTCTTCTCATAGTTTTTGATATAGATACCCGACATAAAACAACTGAACAGATAGTAAATGATCGGCCATGGCAAACCAAGCATAATTTCTGGAGAGATCCTTTAATTTTGCGCGGAGACCTAATAATGGTAATTACTCTTATTATTATTCCTGGTCTTACATTCATATCTAAATTATGTTTGATATTTTCAGAAGACAGACAAGAAATGGATATCAAAGTACTGCATTCGGCCAAGCAAAACCCGGGAATTCTTCAGGCATTAAAAAATTGTAGTTCCAATGCTTCGATTGTAAATATTATTAATAAATACACAAACAAATATTACAAAAAACATGATTTTTATTGTGGAAAATCAGATACTGCAAAGCAGTGCAAAACCAAAACTGCGAGGGTCTGGAAAAACCAAAACTGGGAGGGTGTAGAAAAACAGATATTGCAAGTGGAGGAAAACCATAACTGGGTACGTGTGGAAAATCTATAATGCGGGAAGTCGAAAAACCAGTGGATTTTGTCCTGCATTCTTCTGCCAGAGATCCAGATAGAAACCTCATTTCCCCCTTACTTTTTGTGTCACCCCCGTGTATTTTGAAACCAGAGATGGAAGAAATGTAAGGGGTGAATGAGGTTTAGTCCCTTCCGCTTCTATGGAGAAACCTCTTGAAAATATGTTATTTTCCAGAGGAATTTTCCCGGTGGGTGGCTCCATTATAATGCACACAATATTACTTATTCAATGTGACCTAGAAAATTTTTGATATTTTGTAAGTTTAATAATTTTATAATATGAGCTTTTAAACATGGCATGAATACCATAAATTAAACCATTTTTCGTTTAATTTGTCCTTCTTACAGTTATGTCTATCGTTTCTATACAAACCATTTCAATTTCAATTTATGATTCAGTCAGGGATGTAAAATGAATTATTTCTTATATAATCGATGGGCTATTTAACCAGCTTTCTTTCAATATTGAACAATTTTGTGCGCATTGAAAAAATAAAATTTTGAAAACTACACACAAAAAAAAAACTTGGTAAAATCAACTGTAATAATTGTCAAACAGGCCCCAACCAGCAAAATTGTCAATTCTACTAAGTAAATTGTCATTTCACAACAACAAAATACACACAATTAGCGAAGACACAAACCCTAAGCAAAAACAAAATACACGTAACTATTTTAATAGTTACGTAACTATCTTTGTTGGTCAATTTTACCAAGCAAATTTTTTTGTGTGTAATGCATTTTATACGCTTGCAAGGCAGGGAAGGAGACGTTTCTCACCTTATATATATTCTTGATCGGCATCACTCAACGAGTCGATCTAGCGATGTCCTTCTGCCCGTTTCGAAGCAAATTAGTCTCTCAGTTTTAAGCTATCGATATAAAACTTTCTCGAAAGTCTTTCTATATCCTATAGCTCTTATAGGTAGTAACGATCGGAAAATTAATGAGAAATTGTATTCTCTACACACAAAAAAAAAACTTGGCAAAATCAACTGTAATAATTGTCAAACAGGTCCCAACCAGCAAAATTGTCAATTCTACTAAGTAAATAGTCATTTCACAACAACAAAATACACACAATTAGCAAAGACACAAACCAAAGCAAAAACAAAATACATGTAACTATTTTAATAGTTACGTAACTATCTTTTTTGGTCAATTTTACCAAACAATTTTTTTTGTGTGTACAACTCTGGCATATGACTCTTTTTTATTATTTCAGAATTTCGAATTAAATTTAACAATAATCGGACGACTACATTTTATAACCGCCATAGGAAGGATAGAAAAATTAACGAAAGGAAATTTAACATTTTGTAATTTGTAATTTAAAAGGAATGATCTTCGAGCGTATTTACCCTCTGCTAGGGTATAATAAACTAATTAATTTAGTTTTCATCCAAGGAAAATGTTTTCCGTGTATGATATGATTTATCGTATTCGAAATCTTTACTTCATTTATCTGGTGGATTCAATTCAACGTTGTCATCGACTTCCACTAATTACCATACGCAGAATGTCCCATTTTAGTTTTTCGAAATGTTCGACTGGGTCGGTGTGTTGCTCACGGCAATCTACTTTTACTGCCATTTCATAGGGCTAAGCAACTTTGTATACGATTGGCGTACAGGTCATGTATTCACTTCTTTGCCAATTACTCTGTATGCCATCACGATTAATGCCGGGATTTCGACCGCCCTCGTTATTTATTGGACCGGAAAAAGTAAGACCAATTTGGTGTTTGAAAGCGCCAACAAGCTGCATGAATATGTTATCATCGTCATGTCCGGTCTGAGAATCATTGAAGGTACAGCCAAGCTAAAATAAATTGAAATATAATTTTTACACCTCTAAATCATATTTTTTTAAGGACTTGTAACGGTGCTTAACCGATGGCTCCAGCGCAGCCAGACGATGCACCTGGTCAGAGACATAGTTCGTCTGTATAAGGCCAATCCCCAAGTGAAGAAAATGACTCGCTGGGGAATTTTACTGAAAGTCTTCAGTAGCTCTGGAACAGATCTTCTTCAACTGCTTCTCTCCATTGGTGCAATGAACCGTCTAAGCTCCGAAGAAATTATAGGTGTGAGTCTGCACACCTGCATTTCGTTCACTCTGAATTTGGCCATAGCGCAGCATTATTTTGTAATGCTTTTCGTTCGGGCGCAATATAAGATAGTAAATATAAAGCTGCGACAGGTGGTCGAAGAAAGCCGAAGGTTGAGCTGCCTCCAGAGGCGTGGGGGTGCTTTCATGACCCGATGTTGCTATCTTTCGGATCAGTTGGAGGATATAGCGAAAGCCCAGAGCCAGCTGCAGATGATTTTGAACCAGGTGGGAGAGGTGTTCGGCATTCAGGGTCTGATGTCGTATGCCGGATACTACATATCATCGGTGGGTGCATATTATCTGACCTACAGCATACACAAATATGGCCCGGAAGCGTTGCATATGTCGGCTAAGACCATGATCCTGGCCACCTTTTGGAGCTTCTTCTACTATCTCGATGCCACGTTGAATTGTTTCAATATGCTCTATATGTGGGATCACCACAAGGAAATGCTGCGTCTGCTAGAGGAGAGAATAGAGTTTGCGTCTCGATTGGACGTTCGCTTGGAGGAATCCGTAAGATATGTTCAGCTTAGCAATCAATGTTTTAATTGAGTAATTTCCCTATAGTTTGAAAGTCTACAGTTGCAGCTGGTTCGAAACCCATTGAAAATGGATGTCATGGGAATTTTTGACATCACTCGAAGCTCAACTGCGGCCATGATTGGATCTGTTATAGCCAATTCAATATTTCTTATTCAATTTGACATGGAGTATTTTTAAATGGAATGGAGGCACATTAAACGTAATGAACGAAACTAACTTCAATTCACTTTATTACAATGTAGGTGTAACTCCTTTTCCAATCTCATCCATCTCATCATTTCCCGGAATCAGCACATTAGCTTCAGTAACAATATAATTCCGCATTCGGGAAAAACAAAGTATAGAGGACACTTTCAGTTCACGGAAATGGTCGACGTGGAGAGTTTGATATTGGGGGCGGTCTACTATTATGGTCACCTCATCGGAGTTAGTAACTTTGAGTTCAACTGGCAAACGGGTCGTGTCTTTACTGCCAAAAGAAGTACATTCTATGCTGTCGCGATTAACTCCCTTGTTTGTATTCTATATACTTATCACTGGACCGGTCATACGAATATAATTAATTTGGGCTTCGGAAAGGCAAACAAGCTGCATGAATATGTTGTCGTCCTTATGTCAGGCCTGAGAATTGGTATAGGTAGCAAAAAATATCTTAAAAACTTAACTCAAGAGTCGAATAAAAGGGTTTCTCAAATTTTCAGGTCTATTTACCTTGATTCACAGATGGTACCAGCGCTGCAAGATGATGGACTTGACGAGGAAGGTGCTTCGGGTATTTATTGCCAGGCCCCAGGTGAAGAGGCTGTCCCGCTGGGGCATTCTCGCCAAGTTTCTCTCTGGATCTGTGACTGATCTCCTCCAAATGGCCTTCGTGCTGGACGCAATAGGCCGCGTGGACTCGCAATTCTACTTGGGAATGGGCTTGCAGTTCTGGATGTCGGCCATCCTCAATTTGGCCGTATCGCAGCATTATCTTATAATGCTTTTCGTTCGGACGCAGTATAAGCTGCTCAACGCTGAACTGCAGCAGGTGATCGAGGAGTCCAAGGAGTTAAGTTGGAATCCTCGACGGCAGGGGGTTTTCATGACTAGGTGTTGTTTCTTGGCAGATCAGCTGGACAACATAGCCAAGCTCCAGAGTCAGCTGCAAAAAATAGTGAACCAGTTGGAGGAAGTATTCGGCATTCAGGGCGCCCTGGTCTATATGGGATACTACATGTCCTCGGTGTCCACCTCCTACCTCACCTATAGCATCCTTAAAATTGGCTACCAGAACATGCAGATGACGCTGACTATTGTGATCCTGTCCATCGTATGGAGCTTCTTCTACTACCTCGATGGTATGCTTAATCTGTCCGTCATGCTGCATGTCCAGGATGATCACAAGGATATGGGCCGTCTACTGGAGCAGCGAACCCTATTTGCACCCGGCTTGGATGTGCGACTCGAAGAAGCCGTACGTTATAAACACCCTGGTGCATTACGATATTGCATGTGTATTATTTTCTCCTCCCTAGTTTGAGAGCCTCCAGCTGCAGCTGATTCGAAATCCTTTAAAAATTGATTTAATGCATTTATACGACGTCACCCGAGGTTCTACCATGACCATGTTTGGAAATCTGATAACACATTCCATCTTCCTAATTCAATACGACATGGAGAACTTCTGAAAAGTATTTTCCATTCAATAAACTGCCCAGTATGAAAGACCAAGATAATTGTGGTTCTTAATTGTTTTCTAAAAACCTTTTTAAGTTACAAAGAATTTTCAATATAATTATAACATATAATTTATAAGTCATTTGAAGTAGTACCTAGTTCCCTAATTTTTATCTCGAAGCTTTCAGTAGCTTTCATTGGGCTCTTAAATATGAAAATCGATTTTTGTTCCTCTGTATGAAGTAATTGGTGTTGTAATGAGTTTTGATGAATGATTGCCAGGCTCTTCACAAAATTACCATTCAAATCAAAAAATAAACAAGAGAGAACGCTATAGTCGAGTAATTCGACTATCAGATACCCGTTAGTCAGCTAAAAGTAGTGCGAGGGAGATGGAGATATGCAGCCGTCAAAACAACTGGCTCCATCTAGTGGCTGTTTAATTTTTTGGTCATTGCATTTTAAAGCATTGTCCATTTTAAAAATTTTCTTCAACAGTTCGATAGGTATAAATAAACACGACAAAATGGCATAATCACATTTACAAAATCACATTTACAAAAGATGTGGGCGCCAGACTTATTTAAAAATCCTTTAAAGCAAATGTCTGGTACGAGTGGCCGTACCACTCGGATAAAACAAACAAGCGGTGCGTAGGAAGCCCAATAACATTTGTGATTATTCCCAACCTTCTAGCTTTTGTAGTTTCTGATATCTTAGCTTAGATCGACTCGGCTAGCGATCCTGATCAAAAACATATATAGAACGCTTCCTTCTTCATGTTACATACTTTTTCAGGAATACAATATACAACTATTACTCTATGAGTAACGGGTATAATTAAATATGAAATCTACTAGAAAAATCTCTGTCATCACCATAAATAAATTACCCTTTTTAGCATAGAAGCAGCTAGGCCACCAACAGTTTTTCGAAATGGTCGACTGGGTCGGTTTATTGCTGCTGGCAGTATACTTTTACAGTCGGTTGATCGGCTTGAGCAATTTTGAGTACGACTGGAAATCAGGGCGTGTCTTCTCTAGTTGGGTAGCTACTTTCTATGCCGTAGTGATTAATTTAACTATATTTGGTACACACATTTACTGTTGGACCGGACAAATCAATTTAGAAGTGCTATTTGGAAATGAAAATAAGCTGCATATATATGTTATCGTATCTATGTCCAGTCTGAGGATAATTGCAGGTAAGTTTACTTTTAAGAAATAATATTAAAACATACAAATTTAATAAGCATAATTGGGTAACACTTTTTTCAGGTTTTTCTACGCTGCTGAGCAGATGGCGCCATCGAAATCAGCTGATGGACCTTGTAGGAAACGTGCTCCACCTGTTTCTGGCCAATCCCCAAGCGGGTAGATGGTCCCGCTGCGAGTTTGTTATAAAGATCTTCGCCAGTCTTGCGACTGACCTCTTCCATGTCGCACTGGCCCTAGATGTGATGGGTGGTATGAACACATCGCAAACGTTGGGCCTGGTTTTGCAGTTCTGGACCTCGACTATTCTTAACCTCGCAGTTTCGCAGCATTATCTGGTAATGCTGTTTGCCCGGGCCCAATATCGGTTTATGAACACTGAGCTCCGAAAAGTAATTAAAGAGACCGAGATGCTCAGCAATCATCCACAGCGAAGAGGTGCTTTTATGACCAGATGTTGCTATCTTTCCGATCAGTTGGAAGAAGTTGCCAAAGTACAAAGCAAACTACAGTCGATTGTGACCCAGTTGGGAAAGGTATTTGGGCTCCAGGGGGTTATGGTATACAGTGGATACTACATATCTTCGGTGGTCGGCACGTATCTGACCTACAGTCTCTTTAAGTATGGACACGAGACTCTGAATTTGACACTTAAAACTGTTATCCTTGCATACACTTGGAACTTCTTCTACTATTTAGATGCCCTGCTTAATCTTTCCATAATGCTGTTTGTTTTGGATGATCACAAGGAGATGAGACGTCTATTGGAGGAGGCAACATTGTTTGCTTCTAGGTTGGATGTTCGACTCGAGGAATCTGTGAGATGCAATAAGTTTTTTTACGTTTTTTTATAACCGAGATTATATTCTTTCAGTTTGAGAGCCTCCAGCTTCAGCTTGTACGGAGCCCGTTCGAAATGAACGTCATGAAATTATTCTCTGTCACTCGCAGCTCTACCTTTGCCATGTGTGGATCTATTATCACACATTCGATATTCCTTATTCAATTTGACATGGAATACTTTTAGGAGTTTTATATGGTTTTGCTTTCTGAAAAGTTGTTCACTGGACACATATCTTGGTAAACTGAAACTGACTTCTCATATAGATTTATTTGTTTATTTTTTGATAAAAATATGTAGTCAAGAAAATGCTTGTTCTATTTACAGCTGATACAATAAAGAAGTAAATATTCATTTTTCATGTTTATGGTTTTTTTTAATTACTTAGAAAACCGCATAATGCACATGATTTCAATGTAGTTTGAGTAAATTAGATGGTCATTAGTTATAGTTCCCCTTCCGTTTTAGCCTTTATGAAAGCACTTATATTAAAACCGAGAACATGTAACTCATTCAGTGGGCTCCATAATGTCAGAAGAGGTAGACGGGTGCACTCAGAGAAATACCAGTAAAAGGTGGCAGTCGCGAATTCAACGATGGTCAGTTCTCGCCATTTGCTGGTTCTCATATATTTTTTATCGCGGCTGTGTTGTTGGGCAGATTAAGTACGATCCGAAGAAAGCAAAAATGATAATACAACATCGAAATATTTGGACCAAACGGATTGCTTTGTGCATAAAGATGTTCGGACTTTCCCTAGACTTGTTCTTGATTGAAACTATATTTTCGGCTGTTAGACCTTTCACTGCAAGAGACAAAAGTCTGCGATATATAAGTCAACTTTTTAATAAGCTGGTGCTTGCGATTGCATTGCAATTATCGCTTTGGAATACTTCTCGTCTATATTTGTGGCTGAGCAGCTTGTCCTGGAATCGATCCTTTGTGGCTGCTGTGAACGATGTGATCCACGTAGTAATTCTGGTGGATGACATTTTTGGACCACTCTTCTTAGAGTATCTCCCTCTACTGATCCTTTACATACTTCAGTTGCATTTAACTCTGCTGCAGATTTTTAGTTACACTTACGTGATATCGGTGTTAAACATCCTGCTGCTGGAGTTGTTTTACAACGTATATGTGGCCTATCAGTTACTGCTGCTTTCTTGTATCGCTGCTTTCAATTGCTTCTTGAAGGTATGGCATCATAAAGCCTCTGGTATTTGAACCACTCCTTTTTTTGACTTAATTACACTAGTTTACAGCCAAACTGCTCCAAGGCAATTGATGGCAAATTCTGTTAGTGTTCGACCCCCAAATCACGAAAATACCAAAACAAGCCGAGTATGGCCCAAATTCATAAAAAATTGGATTTATGGTGGATTTTTAAAGTTCGGATTTTTCAACTTTTTTCGGTTGATGGATATTTTATAAGAATGATTTATTCAAATGGATATTACTTATTAAAAATACTCACAGTCATAACGCAAGCAATTTTATATTTTTTAAGGAATTTTTAAAAATTAAATTAAGTTTGTACCCATTATAATTTTTCAACGGATTTATTTCGAGTTTTTACGATACATACAGCCGACTTACAGAGGACCAAAAAACACATTTTTCATCTTTGTCGAGCTGCTGCGCTGCCATTACTTATCCAATCATATCTGATCTGATCTCTGATCTATTGACTTTTTAATGAAACAAAAACTGGCCCAATTGGGTGGATATTTGCCGAGATATAAGAAGAAATTCGAAAAAGTCCGATATTTTACCTTTTTTAACTTTAAAAAATCTTTAAAAAAAAACTGTGCCATCGAAAAAAAAATTAGTGGTATTTTCGTGATTTGGGGGTCGAACACTAACAGAATTTGCCAACAATTGCTTTGGAGCTCTCCAAGAATATTATTTTGTAAACTAGTGTTATTTATATTCCTAATCAATTTAAGAACGATTCATTCTCAGGGCCAAGATTTTTCCTTTAAATGAAAGTTATTACTTTGCTTTAGAGCTACTTGCAGGAGCAAACACCGAGTAGAAGGCAACGACTGAAGCTCATTCGGTTATTTCGATTGTATGCCAAAATCAGCAACGGACACCAGGACATCAAAGTTCTGTGGCTTCCAGTGGCCAGCATGCTTTTCTCCAACATTGTAGAGCTAGTGGTCCATTGGTCTTCCATCATCGGCTGCATTTTGTTTAGTCACCAACTGAATTTAGTTGAAAAGTGGGGTTTTATATTCTGGAAACACCTGGGCCCAGGACTGGCGCCCTTGTTGAGGATTCTATTCGTTGGACTATGCAACGATCGGTTGCAGCAGATGTTGAACTTCCTGAACTTGCAGCTCTTGATCGTCAATTTAAACCAACCCAATGAACTGGAGGAGACATTTTGTTACGAAATCAAGAAGCTGGTGAGCGTTTTAAGAATATTTTATTAATTTTCTATATCCCCTCCATTGCAGCAAACCTGCTTTGATGTACAGTTAAGGGCACAACCCATAAGAAACCAGATAATGAGTGATCATCAAGTTTGCGGCTGTGCTTTCGTCTTGGATTTCTTCTTCTGTACCATTCTGAATTCCGTAAGCTGCGTTCAGTACGAAATTTCAAGTGGCAGCGGTTTTCGTGGAGGCTAACAAAAAACTAAATAATCGTTTAAAATGTAAAAATAACAAATAGATTATTTATTAGGCTGAGGATCTTACACCGGATAAACTCACAATAATTAGTATAGGGCTAACATTTATGATAACATTTTCTATAATGTTAGACATTCTGAATATACGTGTTGAATAAAGTGGACGTGTCCCTAGGGAAAGTGTACTTTTTGCTTTATAAACCGCCCCTCTCACAAATTCAGAAGTTCTTTAAATCTTCGCAAGGGACAATATAACCTTTAACGAGTTCTTGGTTGTCCAGCTAAAAAGATCACTTTCCGCGTTGGCAATGCCAACTCAAGGCCTTGTGGCCAGGCACCAGGTCAGGACGCCAACCAAAACCCTGGAGAAGATTAACAAGCTAAGGGGGATTCTGGAGAATATCAAGACGACGCCTTCGACCATGAACTTCAATTCGTCGAGTGCATTTAGGTTTAGGTTCCGGTTCTGGTACCAGTACGTAACGGTCCAGTTACAAAAATTTCAAAATTTGATTTGAAATGAGATTGGCGAAATTTGAAAGGGCAGCCCAACTAACTCATCAGCCGGAGAAGAGGTTTTGAGCTTACCGAGCGGCGAAAATTGCCATTACAAAATGGATTACGAATGCATTACTTCTCCTCCAGTAATAGGGAAACAATTGATTACAACGTGGATTACTTTGCCATAGGCATGGCCGCCTTGTAATGTGGTCGGGACACAATTTGCATTACTAGTAATGGGAAAAGTATGCTGGGGCCGAGTCACCTTCGGGTCTCCGTTACGAATTCACTATACTTTCCCAAAATTGTAATGCAAAATGTAGACAGACTAGAGAAAATTCAACATACATTTTGAAAAACGTATGCTGAGTTGTAATGCTGTTCATTTATGAAAACAAAAAATATTTTTTCCTCATGTAGGAAGTGAACATGGGTATTATTGTATAATGGATGGAAAGGCTAACCGCTCGGCCATTGTCTGTGCTTCTTTTAGTTCGTTAAACTATACTTAGAATGCATGCTGTTATTATTAAAGTTCCGAAGCTCAACCCAGCTGCGAACATGTGAATGGGGTCTGGAGAAAAAATGCATTACAAGTGTAGACATTGTAATCGATTACGATCGCTGTTTTTCGACAGTGAAGTTGTAATCAGAGCTCCTATGACTTCGTATTTTTGTTCGTTTACGATTTCCTTTTGTCAAAAATCACAAACACACCTAAAAATTATTTCCTATGTGTTCGTTTTTCGTTTCCCCTCCGTCACGGTTGAGCTTTGGAACTTTAATAATAACAGCATGCATTCTAAGTATAGTTTAACGAACTAAAAGAAGCACAGACAATGGCCGAGCGGTTAGCCTTTCCATCCATTATACAATAATACCCATGTTCACTTCCTACATGAGGAAAAAATATTTTTAGTTTTCATAAATGAACAGCATTACAACTCAGCATACGTTTTTCAAAATGTATGTTGAATTTTCTCTAGTCTGTCTACATTTTGCATTACAATTTTGGGAAAGTATAGTGAATTCGTAACGGAGACCCGAAGGTGACTCGGCCCCAGCATACTTTTCCCATTACTAGTAATGCAAATTGTGTCCCGACCACATTACAAGGCGGCCATGCCTATGGCAAAGTAATCCACGTTGTAATCCATTGTTTCCCTATTACTGGAGGAGAAGTAATGCATTCGTAATCCATTTTGTAATGGCAATTTTCGCCGCTGGGAACCGTGGCGGAGGGGAAACGAAAAACGAACACATAGAAATAATTTTTAGGTGTGTTTGTGATTTTTGACAAAAGGAAATCGTAAACGAACAAAAATACGAAGTCATAGGAGCTCTGATTACAACTTCACTGTCGAAAAACAGCGATCGTAATCGATTACAATGTCTACACTTGTAATGCATTTTTTCTCCAGACCCCATTCACATGTTCGCCGCTGGGTAGCGTCGAAACTTCTATAGAAGTTTATATATATATATATGCACATCAGCTGCACATAAGCTAACATGAGTTGGCTATAATCTTCTCGGAAATATTTTTTCTCATTTAAAACAAATTTAAAGAAAGAAACCACCTTGAAAACAAGAATTACATTTCCTGTTTTAAGAAATATTTTCTTTTGTTTTAAGGGGACATCTGACTAAAATTTTGAAAAAATCGAAATTTTTTTTTCGTTAACAAAATTCTTTAACATACACTAGTCGGCATAATTATTTTGACAGATTTGAATGTTAAGTGTACTCACATTTTAAACTTTTAATATAAACTTTCCGCACCTATAGAAAGAGCACTGCAATTCCGTTTAAATTACACATATAACGAATTTCTTAGTCCAGGGTTGCATTCAGCCGGGTCTAGGGAACTTTACAAGAAATTTGTAAAAAAGAAAAGGTAGGGGAACCTGTGGCTGGATAATAGCAGAAGGAAATGACTCTCGAAATTTGGTCGGCGAAACCTGGGATTACCATCTACCGGGGAATGTCCGCCGGTAGCGTAGGATGAGGAACGGGAACCAACCAGGGATGTCACCCGGCAGCGCACGTAACAGTCGGCGGCTGGCCAGGGAGCAACCACTGCCCGCACACCCTAAAGTTAGTCGCTTCTCGGGGAATGACCACCGGCTATGGAGGACTACAATTAGTTAATTCCTAGGTTACTGGGACGCCGCCGGCCAGGGAATAACCACTGTCCGTGCAAACTACGATCGGTTATTTGTCAAGAGGGGAGGCGCGCTGGGGAAACTGACTTTCCGGGGGTGGCCACCGGCAGTGCACTCTAAAGTTAGTAACTGGCCAGGGAATAACCACTACTAGTGCAGAACTACGGTTAGTTGCTTACCAGGGAATGGCCGCCGATAATGCAAAACTACGGTTAGTTGCTTACCAGGGAATGGCCACCGATAATGCAAAAACTACGGTTAGTTGCTTAACAGGGAATGGCCGCCGGTAATGCAGAACTACGGTTAGTGATCGGTGGGGGCAATAAATACAAACACGGGAGAATTTCACTTTAGCATCAGTACACTGGGTTAATTTATTAAGTTTTGATCAGGTATCGCGGGTCTTCTGTGTCCCTAAAACTGCCCGTTCTGCCGTTGAGAATACTTATTACAAGAGTCTTACCCGGAGCACACGTCTGTTCGCTGGCACGATCGGAAGCACAAGAGAGCCTTTCTCTCTCGCTCCGCGTGGTTCCTAACTTCTATCAGAGCCAATTGGTCTATTCGATCGGCGATTGTTCCATTCGATATGTGACAGGGGTGTGTGAACACTGTTCCGATGATAGTTAACAGTGTTCACGACTAATCGATTGGTAATCGATGAACTTGCAGCTAGTGTGACCCTAGCTAACTATCGCCCTATCGCTTAATAAATAAGACAGAGTGTTGGGTTTTGAACTTAACTAATTTATCCTTCAGTGGACTTAAATCTAGGCTTAGTTTATAGGAACATAAAAGTAATTGTGCGCCTAAACTCCAAAAATGAGTCGTCACATACAAAAATGTTCTTAACCCATTAAGACCCCTTTGAAAAGTGAGCAAATTTTGCGAAAATACAATTTTCAACTTTTTTCCTGGGGCTTAAAACAAAAATGTTTTGATGCAAAATTTTTCTCCAATCAAAATTAATAATAACTGCAAAAAAAAATATTTCAAAATATTTTTCCTTGTATTTTTTATGATTTTTTGAATGGAACGATCTCAGTTAAATTTTGTACCTAAGATAGAGTCCGGCAAAAGTGTCTAAATGTCGAAATTTTCCGTTCTGCGAAGACGCCTCTCGGGCAAACTTTAAACGCGTTTTTCTCGAAACCACTTTTTTTGAGACTGCCGGACACATAACTCGAACAAATCTAAACCGATCGATTTGAAATTTTGACAGAATATTCAAAATACCTTTATCTATCGATCCTCGTAGGATTTTGTATAATGTTAACGTTTTTTCAATCACTTACCTTTTTGCAAAAAATGAATATATCGCAAAAACCCTTCGAGTATCGAAAGCTGTTAATGTATAGAAACTAACCAAACTTGATTTTTGGTTCCAGATCAAAAATTAAGGACGTTAGCTGTCCGGCCATGGACCCCCTTCAAAAAAAAGGCCTACATACAAAAAAAAATTGGCAAAATCAACTGTTATAATTGTCAATCAGTCCCCAACCACAAAAAATAGTCAATTCTACTAAGTAAATAGTTACTTTCACAACAACAAGTACTAGTAAGTATTAGCAAAGACACACCTATATCCTAGACAAAATTGACAATTATTTGTGGTTGTGGTCTTTTTGACAATTTTTTTGTGTTAACGAAGAAATGCTGCAGAGCCGCCATTTTGTTTTTGATTTTTTTTTCTGATTTATTTGAAAAAAATGTATTTTGTACTTCGCATCTAATATTATAAAACCTAATTTACAAATTTTCGATTAGGTTTTTTTATTTGGCCAAAAAATATTCCAGAAAATAATTTTTTTTTCAGTTAAAAAGACTTGGCAAAATCAACTGTTATAATTGTCAATCAGTCCCCAACCACAAAAAATAGTCAATTCTACTAAGTAAATTGTTACTTTCACAACAAGAAATTCACACAGTTAGCAAAGACACACACCTATATCCTTGGCAAAATTGGCAATTTTTTGTGGTTGGGGTCTTATTGACAATTTTTTTTTTGTGTGCATATATACACTTGTGTTTTCTTGTACATAGAATATAGAATTGGTTGTTTAGAGAAGGTGAACGTTTCAAGCGTTTCCGAAGAAATATATTGAAAAGCTTTGACACCATTATTTATAATAAGACGTTATTATACCCGTTACTCGTAAAGTAAAAGGGTATATTGTATTCGTGCAAAACTATTTAACAGCTAGAAGGAAGCGTTTCCGACCCCATAAAGTATATATATTCTTGATCAGGGTTACTAGCCGAGTCGATCTAGCCATGTCCGTCTGTCCGTCCGTATGAACGCTGAGATCTCGGAAACTACAAAAGCTAGAAGGTTGAGATTTTCCAGCGCAAGTTAATTTCAGCCGAGCGCCACGCCCCCTCTAACGCCCACAATCGACCACTAACGATTTTAAAATGTGTCCTGCGCCCTTGTCTTTAAATATTTCCGAGAAGTAAAAATTTTGTTGTGTATATTTATACCTATCGAAATGTAGAAGACATTTTTTAAATCGGATTTATTAAAAAGTTATACGCAATCAAAAAAACGGTATACATCTTTCTCCCTCGCACTCCCTTTAGCTAAGGTTCGAAAATTAGATAGTCGGGACACGAACCCGAGCACAGCGTTCGCGCTCCCTTTAGCTGAGTGACGGGTATTAGATAGTCGGGACACCAACCCGACTATAGAGTTCTCTCTTGTTTTCTTTAAGTTTGAGAGCCGCCAATTTCAAATTGTTCGGGACCCGCTCGGATTGAACGTCATAAAGTTATCTCAGTCACTCGAATCTATTATGGAATGGCTGGCCGTCCGCTCTCATAACATGGTAAAGTGACTCTATATTCTGAATTATGGTATCGGATGATTTTTGGATATTAATAAGTAGTCAAGTAAGTGCTGGTTTTATTTACAGCTGATACAAAAACGAAGAAATGAGAAAATATTAGTTTTTCATGTTTATGGTTTTATGTAATTGGTTGCATAACCATATAAGCATAATGATTTCAATGGAGTTTGAGTAAATTACATATTCATCACTTACAGTTCCCCTACCATTTTAGCCTTCATAAAACCACTTATGTAAAGAGCGGAAGTATGGGACTCATTCAGAGGTCTTTATAATGCCAGAGGAAGGACACGGGTGCACTCATAGAAATTCCGCTAATAAGTGGAAAGCGCGAGTTCTGCGATGGTCTGTTTTCGTCATTTGCTGGTTCTCATATATTTTTTATCGCGGCTGTGTGGTTGGGCAGATGAAGTACGATCCGAAGAAGGGAAAAATGGTTATTATACCTCGAAACATTTGGACCAAACGGATTGCTCTGTGCCTCAAGATATTTGCCATGTTCCTAAATAATTTCCTTTTTGAAAGTTTACTGGCTGCGATTCTTCCGTTGATTCCACTAAGGGACGGTAGTCCACAAGATATAAATGACCTTCTTTATAACCTAGAGGGTGCGATTGCAGTGCAACTATTGCTTTGGAATACGGCTCGTCTATATTCCTGGCTAAGCAGCTTATCCTGGAATCGATTCTTTGTAACCGCTGTGAACGATGTGATCCTTGTGGTAACTCTGGTGGCTGACACTTTTGAACCACACACCTTAGATGATCTGCCCCTGCTGATCCTCTACATACTTCAGTTGGTCTTCACTCTACTGCAGATTTTTAGTTACAGTTATGTGATATCGTTGTTAAACATCCTGCTCCTAGAGTTGTTTTATAACGTATATGTGGCCTATCAGTTCCTGCTGCTTTCTTGTATTGCTGCTTTTAATCGCTTTTTGGAGGTAATTCCCTTTTTAATGATTTTATTCCTTTTTCTTATTAAATAATAATGTTTATTTTCAAATGTTTCCTTTAAATGAAAGTAATTACTTTGTTTTAGAGCTACTTGCAGAATCAAACACCGAGTAGAACGCAACGACTGCAGCTTATCCAGCTATATCGATTGTATGCCAAAATCAGCAACGGACACCAGGACATCAAAGTTCTGTGGCTTCCAGTGGCCAGCATGCTTTTCTCCAACATTGTAGAGCTAGTGGTCCATTGGTCTTCCATCATCGGCTGCATTTTGTTTAGTCACCACCTGAATTTAGTTGAAAAGTGGGGTTTTATATTCTGGAAACACCTGGGCCCAGGATTGGCGCCCTTGTTGAGGATTCTATTCGTTGGACTATGCAACGATCGGTTGCAGCAGATGCTGAACTTCCTGAACTTGCAGCTCTTGATCGTCAATTTAAACCAACCCAACTACAATGAACTGGAGGAGAAATTTTATTACGAAATCAAGAAGATGGTGGGTGTTTTATGAATATTTTATTAATTTTCTATATCCCCTCCATTGCAGCAAACCTGCTTTGACTTACAGTTAAGGGCACAACCCATTAGAAATCAGATAATGAGTGATCATCAAGTTTGCGGCTGCGCTTTTGTCTTGGATTTCTTCTTCTGTACCATTCTGAATTCCGTAAGCACCGTTCAGTACGAAATTGCAAATGGCACAACGCTAAATTAATAAATACATTGTAACCGAAATGTGTAAATCATTTTAGTTAGTTCTATATATAATTTAAATTGCAGAATATGTACAAATAGCAAAACTGAACAAATAAATTGTAGCAGAAAGGGATTGTATTTGTCACAAATTGCCATTGGCCAGAACAGAGGAAATTTAATTTGAATGTGATTTATATTTCACAACGAATGACAATCAAATTATGTAATGCTGAAGCAGAGAGAATTGCGAATTGAATTTATTTTTTGGCCCTTTAATGCTAGACTAGCTAACCAGGCTGGATGCCAATGTCAGGAAAAGTTTGCCATTTTCCATGGCCCTTCTTTTTTCAAATTTTGTTTGTTTGAGCTTGAGCTGTGGCCAGCGCACATAAATTTCAATTAACATAAATTTAATGCCGGCGCACAAAGTTGGGCCAACAAATTCGGCCAACACGCACACACACACGTACACCAGCAGAGAGGGCATTTTCAATTATTGTCTGGTGCACAAAAGTTCGCTTTCTCTCCTCCTCTCCTACCAAAATAAAGTCACCGCCTTTCACCCCTTCGAGTGCAGCTTTTCCGGATCTAATGCACTTGACTCTGGAGCGGTAAAGGGGGCGAGGAGGGCCACTTTAAGCCGCATATAGCAAATGGTCAGAGGCAAAGCAAATTGCTGAAAGGCGCTTATGCAAAGCGATCAAAATGCGAGGCGACATAAACACAGAACGAGAGGAGAAAATCCAACCCCGAGGCTGTAAAACCAATTTGAAATTGTTATTTTAAGCGAAAGTAAATCGCAACCAAAAGGATTCTGTGTGGGGTGAAAGTCGTAAAAAATCAAATATCGGCTGAGTCTGCTGCCGCTTAAGATGGCATCAACCATTTGCGGCCAGATAAGCAGGAAGCGGGAAACTTTCCTTCTGTTTAGATATATGAAAATTGCCACAACACATTGCCACACCCCCAACGCAGGGGACGGGGGACCATAAAAAGTCCAGGTAACGAAATGTATTTTCTGATGAAATCAGCACAAGAAGAGGATGCGTGTGCGGTTCCTGTTTTAAGGTTCGATTCCGAGAGTTGGGTCCGAGCTGCAAATCTTTGGAAGCCAATAAAAATGGCCAACATAATGAGCCAGCAACTGCCTTCTCGATAAAATGTAAATTGGGGAACTGATTTTATGGGTTGACTACATTTGGGTCCACATGTTGGGTTTTGAATTCAAAACAAGGTGTTTAGGACTTTAAACATTAAATCCTTGTTCTAGAATTAAAGCTACAATGTCGTGCTGAATTTTCTATATTTTATGCTGCTTCCGGACTTGCGATGGCATTTTCACCAACACGTAACTGCAATGACACGAAATCATTTCCATTTCCCCGGACAAAATGGCTTTTAATGGAACGGACCGGCGAACATCTAAGGCCTGCTGCTGCCTGCATGCCAGAAGTGTAGAAAAGTCGACCAGAATCTATATAATTTACGGCTTTGGCAACGCCGAATGATGTGCCAGAAATTGCAGCCAACCCAAGGACTGGCCAAAACAGAAACTGACGGGAAGGCGGCAATTTTTTATTTATTTTTATGAGTAATTTGTTCGCTGCCACGCATTTTATGGCAATGCAGAAAGAAGATTGTGGCCATTGCCGTTTCGCCCATGTTTTTTTTAGCTTTGTCCATCGCAGACTCACTGATCAGGAGCGGCTCTATACCTCGAAGGTTTTTTCAAGGAATTATTATACTTCGAAAGGTCAATTCAATAAAGTTTAATTGAAATGGAAAAAAGTGTATTTTTTTGGATGATTTTATGGTTTGGATAATTAAATATATACAACAAGAGAGAACGCTATAATCGGGTGCCCCGACTATCAGATACCCGTTACTCAGCTAAAGGGAGTGCGAAGGAGATGGAGATGAAAACTTTGATTCGCCGTAACTTTTTAACGAATGGTCCGATTTAAAAAATTTCTTCTACATTTCGATAGGTATTGATAAACATAAAACTGCATTTTTACTTTTCCGAAATATTAAAATTTTTAAAATCGTATGTAAGCGACCCTTTTGAAACAAACTTGCGCTGCGTATGAACTCCTAGAATCTGCATGCAAAATGTCAATCTTCTAGCATTTATAGTTTTCGAGATCTAAGCGTTCATACGGACAGACAGACGGACAGACGGACATGGCTAGATCGACTCGGCTAGTGATCCTGATCAGGAATATATACACTTTATAGGGTCGGAAATGCTTCCTTCAAGCTGTTACATACTTTTGCACGAATACAATATACCCTTTTACTCTACGAGTAACGGGTATAAAAATTAATCAGAAAATTAATCTTTATGTGGTTGTTCACAATTGAATACATTTTATAATAATAAATAATACATATATTTTAATTTTTTTTGTAGTAATTCTTTCTGAGGATATCTACTATATTTTTAAAACGAAGCTTTTTTTTGAAAATACTTTAAATGCCTTGCAGCGCACCTGGAAAATGCGTGAAATGCCAAACGCCAAGGTGCGTGGGGCATCGCAAGGGAAAGAAACCAGAGTAAACAAAAGGCAATTACGTGACAGTGGCATGGACAATGACGATGCCAACTCATCCCAGGAAGGCAGGATAAGCTACACCAACAACCACAAAACCAGGGACAACAAAACCAAGGACAAGGAGACCAACGGACAGCAGCTGAAGTGGCACGTAATCTGCCAATGGGGCGTGGCCAATGGACAGTGGCAGACACTTTTATTGCAAATCATTTCAAATGCTGCAAATGCTAACAACAATACAAGGCGACAACAACGAATGGCAACAAATAATGGCAGCCGGCGACATGACATTGTGTATGAGGATTGTGTAGCCCCCATTTTTCTCTCATTTTCCTCGAGCTGCATGGAAATCGATTGAAGGTGCAATCATCCTGTCTGTCTGCCACCGATAATTCAACCGGATCGGGTAATGGATAAAACATGCGAACAGCTAGGCAACTGATTGAGCATGATTTCAGATTGAAGTGTTTACTTAGAGGGTTTGAGAATTTCCACTTTCTAAATTATCATTTATTAAGTTCCAACCATAAAATAAATCTTGTTGACTAGAAATCGTTTCAAAGTCATATAATACTTTAAACAGCAACTAATGAATAGGTTTTTAAAATGTGTTCTTAATTAATAAGGGTATCATAATAGTATATTTTCCTAGGAACAATGAGCCCAATAGTTCCACTCTCCCTTGTTAAGAATCCTTTCAACCAAAGTTATCACTAAACAAAATGTCTTTCAAGCCAACGCCCTAAATGGTATATTCCTTCCAATTGAACGAGCCCAATTAAACTTTTGGGCAAATCGGCATCAGTTTTTAGCAGCTTTTCCTCGCCCACTTCAGCAATTCCCCACCCCGCACACCGATTTGAATGAGCAGCTTAACTTATCATTGTGTGTGAGGCGGATGGTGAGGGGTGAGGGGGCAATCAAAAAGTTTACCTGTGCCGCAAATTGATGCCTTCTTATCTGTGCGAAATCAAACATGAAACTTTTAAGCCCCACACAATTGGCCTTAATATGCCGAAAGTATCTCCTAGATAGCAGGCGATGACATCCCGAACTACAGATTAAGTGGCGCTGGAATTATGGCAAGCAAAATGGGGAATTAGCCTGTAGCATCCAGGTAGTCCACTGGTGTATTAGTATTTCCTGGGAACTCAGGATGTTGTTCTCACTAGATGACAAATCTGATTTATGTGACATTTGATGGCGAAGATAGCAGGTGGGCACTTCATTCCGTCTGCTCATTTGCTGCCATTTGTCGGCTGGCTAATAAATCTGCGAAGTCATCTCCTGTTATCCTGTATCCCTGGCACTTATAATTTGTTTGGCTTTGTCCTCGGTATTTATCAAAGGTTCTTATTTCGTTGGCAGCTTATTAGTGAAGTCCGGCGAGGACAAAGCTACGGTGCGACTTACGGATAAGTCCGCAGATATTTTCTATTTATTTTCCGGCTTTGTTGGAGCTGTTCTGGGGCTTGCGTTCTTTTTAGGGGGAAAACATAGTATGAATAGAACAGTATCTAAGAATGGGGGATTTAATGGAATATTACGTTTTTTGTGGTAAACAATATTTAAAAAGTTTTTATAAATCTGAAAACTGTATTTCTTAATTTGGATCCCACAGCCGAAATTCTTATGGTTTACTTGCTAACCTACTTTTAAGCTTAATTTACTCAAAAATAAATATAGTCCCTTTTTATTATTAACTTGTTACAGTTTCTCTTATTTTGCGTTATGAATGATACTGGAATGAAACGATGATCAATTTGATATTATGTGGTAACAATTTTTATCAAATTTCGAATGTGTCTTTCTCTCTCCGACTCATGTACGTCTTATTGCTTCTTCCTCCCTTTTTTAAAGTCAGAGAACCTCCGAGAGAGAGAACTCGTCAAAATGATATTATTTAATATCAATTTTACCCGTATTGCGTCGTAAAACTGCGCAGATCCCGGCTTGTCTTTTTTTGTGTGTAGTTTTCCTTTGCTGACTGCATTTCCACACCTTTTTTATGAACCTTGTACGCATATCTCTACTACGCATTCCTAAACTTGCCCATTTTTTTTGCCTTTTCTATTTTTCGGGTAACTGCTTTTTTTTACTGCTAAATGTTTTGCGCCATGTTCCTTTTCTCTGTCTCGATTACTTTTTTATTTGTCGTCGACGGCTGTTGTCACGTTCGGCGAGAACATTTTCACGTATTTGAAATATTTTCTTAAAATTACCCAATTTTCTTTGTGTTGTGTTGCATCTAAAAATATAATAAGAACACAGAAAAAGTATCTCTTGCAACTGGACAGGTTAACTTGCCCTAGCTTTGGAAAATAATTGAAGCTGGGTTAATGCGGAGAAACATAAATAGACAAATTTTAAGGAAGTAAAATGTGGTATATCCATGTGAACTCACTAAGGAGCAGACCATTCTTTAGTAAGTTAAACCTACCTGTGTACCTTTAGGGCAATCAAATAAGTAGTCTGTTGACTGATTTTGAAACAAATATGTTTTATTAATGAATTTCCACTCGTTTACTTCACAATTCTTCGTTCGGTTTTAAATCGCTTGCGAGTAAGGGTCGCACATTGAATGAGGCTTAAAGATATTTACAGAGACTTCTCCCCTTCGTCTGGCATTTAAATTCAGTTGAAGTTACTTTATGGCATTTGATTTGAGTTGAGTTGTAAATAATTCCTATTTGCTTACGTGGCAGCTTGTTAGGTTTGAATTGTTTACGGTTTCACATAGAGTTTATCATATAGATTCGAATGCATTTCGCCTTTTATTTTTTTGCATTTTTATACACCTAAAAGTTGTTTATTTAAATACACAAATAATTTACACTTACAATTACCACACATTTAATTTTTGTTTTTTTTTCGAATTAACGTTAATGCAATTTATATTTTTTTTTTTAGTACTTTTGCATTGTTTTTCAGTTTTTGTTTATAGTAATTTTTCTGTTAATTGCAGTTAATGGCATCGATATTAAATAAGACTTAAAAAACAGTTACAGTTGACAACAATGCAGATTTATATATGTATGTGTGTGTATTATAATATAAACTATATCTATTTTAATTCCCATTCGCACTCGCATTCACCCGGTCAGGCGCTCACAATTGTACTCAATTAGCATTTGAATGTCCGCTCATCGATATTTAAATGTATAATTAATATTTTTCCATTGTTTTTCGCTTATTATTAAAATTGGCTCTGGCTTTTTGTTTTGTTTCGTTTCTGTGATTTCTGTTTTGCTGCTGCTGACGTCTTAACTCTGATTTAGTTAGCTCATAATCATATTTACACACAGAATTTATGGATATCAATGGGGAAAACAGTTTGGAATCCATGGACAAAGCGCCTTTCTATTTACACAATAAAATCCATTTCATTTCATTTCATTTGATTTCGTTTCATTTCACTTAATTTCACATCTGAATTGAGTTCTACTTTGTTATTAAGGCTTCATCACAATCATTTTGCTATTGTTTAAATTTGTTTTCATTACCCATGCTCTTTTGACTTTTGCTATTGTTCCTAATATTTGGCTAACTAAACGGTTTACATTTCCTCTGGATGATGGCTAGGTCGAACCCGGAATGATAATAGTTTTTTTTTCAGAAAGGATCAAACACACTCAGAAGCACGCACTCGCTTTTAGTTAATACCCATTAAGACTTTGGCAATTCATATAAATGTACGATATGTTTTTGTTAGTTTTAAGACTTTTCCAACAGTCACCAAGTTGTAATTGCTAACTTTGATTAGTTTTCTCTCTTTACATTTAATTATTTTTGTTTTAATTTAAAATTAAGTGCTTTTTTGGTTTGCTTCTTATGTGATTTCTTATCTGTCGCATTATTCTTGTTTAACTAATTACAATTTTACATTATTTAATGCATGCTCAACGAACAACGAAATTCTATAGAAAAATCAACTATTTAAAGAAGACATTTTAGTTGGTTTGGATGAATTAGCGTGACGGTATACAGTACTTAACGAAAGTATGTTTATAAGCCAATTTGATTCTTAGGTGGAAATTAATATTCAGAATTTGAATTTATTGGTACATATTCTATTAATTTAACAATCAATTTTCCCTTTTAGCCAGCTTTATTTGGGTCAAATTTAGCCGTATTTAATTTTTGGAATCATACTTTCGTAACGCACTGTGCCGCTCACAATTTATCCGGCCTGTGTGTTTGCTTAAAATTCATCTTATTCTTTGCTTATCCATGAAATTCTTACCATTATTTTTTCCTATATGTTTATAATTATTTTTTTTTTGTTTTGTTAAACTCGTATTTTGCCTTGACTCTTGGTAGAGGATTTTTCATTCATTTTCGTTTATTCCGTTCGCGTGATATTTAAATTCTGTTTTTATGGGAGTGAGCTTAACAATTATTAACATACAATACAGTTACATAAATATATTTATTAAACATTAACTATTTACAGTTGGATTTCTTTCGTTCGACACAGGTGCTAACATTTCCGTAGAGTGTTAAAACATTTTCACGCTTTTTCACATACAATTTTTCTCGATCTCACACTAGTCTTTGTATTTCATGCTCTAGATATTTTTTGTTTTCTTGTTAAAAATTAAATTCATAGAAGCTTTTGTTAACGGCATAAATAAATTAGCTGCATTTCTTTCGTTTTGCATGATTTTCTCTTTTTTTTTGTTCATTTCCTGTTGTTGATTTTCTGTGAGTTTCTTTGTTTCTTTCTCTATGCAAAGCGAAGACGGAAAAATCGGTGAAAAGTGTGTGTGTGCTGTGGAGGGAAATAGCCGCCTTTGGCTTAATGCAGCTACCGTGCAGTCAATGCCATTTTCTCAAGCTGCGTCGCGGATTTTCCGGCTCTCGTCCTGCGAATTTCCTCCTCGCGGTCAGCCAGCAACTCACTCGCCTGTCGGGCTCCTTTCGCTATAGCCATCCCCCCAGGGGCTGTCCGATCCATCGATATCTTATCTGTATCTGTATCGTTTGCGATCCCCTCCGCCAGGGCTGCCACCACCACCGCCAGCGCCACCGGCAGCAGGAGGAGGAGGGGCGCGGGTGCCGAGGGCGGCGGAGCCGTGGAACTGGCTGCATTTGGATGGACGAACAAGAGCGATAAGATTTTGGTCACAAATAGTTCCCGGTAAGACGTACCTTGGACGGGATCGGCGCGCGAGTTGCTGGCATAGACCGTTTCCCGGGACTCGAGCACCGGGGCCTTCTGCGGCCGGTCGCCCTCCACGGACTCCTCGTTGCTCCGCCAGTACAAGGTCGACAACTCGGCTATGCACTGCAAGATGCAACAAAATCTGGTTAGCTGACTGTGCGTACTGAACACCATCGAACTTCCGCGACTCCAAAACAATTTCAATCTATTTATCTAATACTTTTTCACGATTTATCTCTATCGAAATTCCTGACACAAAATAGGAATACTTTTTAAGGGGCCAATAGGTTTCGAAGGGTAAATCAATATCCTCAAAATAAACTAAACTAGGACTGAAAACATGAATACAAAATAGAAATAAAAAAAATACCCTTAGTGTAGAGTAAAATTATAAATATAAACCTGTTTATTAACCTACCCAAACCATAATTCTAAATTATTTTTGAGATTGTTTTGAGCCAAAAAGTTCGATAGCCAAGTCTATATAAATTGCAGCACTCACCTTAAGTTTCATGTCTCCGTTGCGGAAGTGCTTCTGCTCCACCCGGAATTGTAGGCCCAGCACAGAGGTCTCCAGACCCTCTCGTCCCGAAACGATCGTGTCGTACTTGCGAAGCTTCTGCTGCTCCACAGCCTCTCCATTTACCTGCCAGGATAGTGCTAGAGCCGGCTTCGAGCGGCCAGCGGTGCAGTTTACCCGAACATAGTCTCCTATCTGGTAACGCGGTCGTCCACCACTGATTTTTGGCGCTCCTTCGTCCGGAAGACCTAAAATCAAATGGAAATAAGTGAAAAACATCAGTTTTAGGGCTGCTAACGAAATCGGGCCAGAGCAAATTTCATTTACGGCCGCAGACATTTGGCGGGATGTTGTAACTGAATTTTGCAATAAACCCAAGCCACCACAGGAACAACAAGGGAGCAGGGACCGCTCCAAAGGGACAACAAACTCAACGGAGCGCAGCCGGAAATTCAATAAAAGTTCCAGCCGCTGATGCACTGACGGACTTTGGGTAAAATTGCAAACCGGCAAAAATAAAGAAAAATACGATAGAAATAGAGAAAGCCAATAAAACTGTCTAGCTGATGTGTCAACAATCTGAAAAGTGTGTAAACTAGTTTAAGGAAATTTACAAGAATGGCTAGCATTTTTTTAATTATTTCAGTAAAAGTTTCAGGTCAATAAAAATATTATTTGAAAATAACTGAGATTGTATTTTTTAAGATGTTGAATTTAGATGTAAGAATACTTTTAAAATTAAATTACAATAAATTATTTAATGCGCTCTTTTTTAAATCACAAAAAAAAGAAACTTGTTCTACCAAATTTCAGCACAACAGAGCCCATAGCCCCAAAACAAATCTAAGTCTGACCGACCAGTTAAAATGGCCATAACGAGGGATCCCCAGGAATCTCTCTGGATCTCCGGGCTCTGCAAAACGGAAACGGAAATGGTTTCGACTTGTTGTTGTTTGCCAAAGGGGCCCCGAAAATGGCATCTGCGGGTGAATTCCTGAATGGGTGGATGGTGGGCGGTGAGTTGTGAGCTGTGAGCCGTGGCATATGCCCGGCTCGTTCTGTTGCCGAAGCTTTTAAAAACTTTGATTGAAAGCCAAACAGAACCAGCCGGGACGGGACCGCAGTATGAGCGGCTACACAACCACCGAAAGCCAGAAAACAAAAGCACAACAAAAGCCCCCGTTTAGAACAAAGACACAGTCCACGTTAAACAATAAAAGGGAGACAGCCATTGCAAAAAAGGGGGCGTTGGGAGCCAGAGAAGGCGTGTTGGCACGCCCACGCAAAAGTTTTATAATTGAACAAACGAAATGTCAACGCCAGTTCAAAGCGCTCGTGTAGTAGCGAGGGGGGATGCAGGAAGTGTGTATGGAGCACTGACAAAATAAAGTTACTACTTAAACGCTTTTAATAAATTACTAATGGTAGAATTATATTCGTAATTTTAAGCTTAGTAAATACAGTTTACTTTACTTTAATTATGTTAAAAAGAAGTATATATATTCTTGATCAAAATCACTAGCCGAGTCGATCTAGTTATGTCCGTCTGTCTGTCTTTTTGTCTAGAAAGTTGTGATTACCTACACGTATTCCTGGGCTTCCTACGCAGCGCAAGTTTATTTCAGCCGAGCCGAGCCGAGCTACAAACTATTTAAACTATTTTAAAATGTGTCTAACGCCCGCACCTTTAACTTTTCGGAAAAGTAAAATGCAGTTTTATTGTGTTTATCAATACCTATTAAAATGTACAAGAAATTTTTCAAAGCGGACCATCGGTTAAAAAGTTATGCCCGATCAAAGTTTTATATCTCAATTTCCCTCGCACTTCATTTAACTGAGTAACGGGTATCTGATAGTCGTAGCACCCGACTATAGCGTTTTCTCTTGTTAATAATGTGTCTTTCTTAATTGGTTTGAACTTAATCCCTTTGTCAAGTGAGTGAGCCGAAGTAGAGCTTAAAAAAAATTGGCAGTTTTACATTTCTCGATATTTAATTTGTGTTTATCTTCAAAACATCGATATTATCAAATCGATATTGTCAAAAAATAAAAATATTTTAAAGCTCTAATCCAAAGTGATGCAAGTTCTCAAAGAATAATTCATCAAACATTTTTTTGTGTGGATAAAATGGGAGGGTGGATAATACCTCACACCTTTAAGTTCCATGAAGCCTTAGTTGTTGTTTTGTTTGCATTTTAAGTTTTGCGGCGGTGTCTTGAGCAAATTTTTGGCATTGCCCTGCAGGAATTTTGGCCAAGAAAAGAGCCAATGTTCCCGGGGACAGACTACCTCCGAAATTGAGTTAAACTGTTAAGCCCTGGCAAGTTTTGCCAGTGGGAAAGTCGGGGTGAAAGTGGGAGTCGGTAGGAAGTTCAGTAAGCTTATTTGGCATTAGAAGCATGAAATCAAATGAAGCCTGTCAAATGCACTGCAAATGCTTTTTGACTAAGTAAACACAATTCCGATTGAATAAAGCTGATTGGGTCAGGATGCTGGAATCGGGCGGAGTTACTCAGTTCGGGCGAAAGTGAATGGACGGGGCCAAGGCCAAGGTAAATCAGGTGGGTGGCGATTAACGGGGTTAGTCTGTTTACCTGATTAGCTTCTTTGCTTAAAGGGAAACTTTTCTCGCAGATTTTATGGCTTAAATGTTAAAGAAAGCGAAAACTTTTCCACAACGATTGCTTGCCATTTAATTTTCTCAGTACATTTTTAAATTAAAGTTTTCCTTTCAGCATTTCAATCAACAGTAATCAAAACACCTTTTTCTTTTTATATCTCAAAGCTTTTTAATTACTATAAGACTGAAGGTTTAACCTTAAAGTGATTCTTGATGTCACAATTATGTCTCAATAATAAAATATGGTATTTAGTAAATTTCATTTCTTTTTAAGGATAAATATAAAAAATATATAAATCTAGAAGACATGTATTAAATGAGAAGACGTTTATACTTTTAAGAAATTAATATCCATTGTAATTTTGCTTCAATGTTCTTAATGCTAAATACAGACAATTAATATTTCATTATTATTTATTAACATTAAAAAATAAAAAAATAAAAGCACCAACTCAATTGTGATTTATAGGGTTAATCCCGACTCCTGCCATCCTGTGACAACTTTTAGGAGTAAAAGTCAAAGTCAGCTTCAGTGTTCCAACGACAGGACCCCCTTCACCGCTTTTAGCCACAGCATCTGGGCCACCAGCAGTCAGCGCCAAATGGCCGCAATTTCTAATTAGAGTTATAAGTTTTCGCCCGACTCTCAGCTGGCTATATACATACAGTCGGTTAGGGGGAAGTGGGAACTGCGGGAAATGAAGGGACTGGGGCAGGGGATATATATGCTACTTACACACAACAATCATGTCGCCGTGCTCGGTGACCGTTTGGAAGGAGGGCGCCTCGCCAGAAACCTCGCACCGGAAGCGGCCCGCCGACTGCAGATTGACGTAGCGCAGCGTAACAATCGCGTCGCTCGAGTTGTGCAACTGCAATTAAAAACGAGAGCGGAAAATAACGGTCAGAACGGGGTATATTGATCAAATTATTTTCAGGAAAATGTAATATTAAATACACTACGCACTAAAGATCTGCAGGTTAAGAAAATAAATACTGATCCTTAACTTAGGAGTTAGGATGATACTTAAATAAATGATGATAGATACTTAAAAACTAAATTTATTTATTTTTTTTTTTTTGTTGTAGGTTATATTATTTTAAAACCTTAACTTAAATTAATAAAATATTTTAATTTTCTAAAATAAATGAAAAGAGTTTAATATACGAATTACATTGGAAATCAAATTTAAATATGAATTTTAAGGGGAAAAAAACAAATGGTACAACAAATTACTTTAAAAATTTAAAATACCTTTAGTAAGGGTATTAAAGGAAGGACTTTGTTGATTCGAGAGAAATTGTTGAGTGATGGCGACGCAGGAGATGGCTGGTTAAAATTAATGTAACGAAAAGTGGGCAAAAAGTTGCAGTTGCTCCGAACAAACCCCCTTTTCCTGTAACTCTTGGCGTTGTCATTGGCAGTTTCAATACCATCAGCCAGGGGCGTTGGAGAGGGGGCTTCGGGGGGGACTCGTGGCTCCTGCAGCCACTTTGGACGTTAATGTAACGTAATTGCTTTTGAAAACTGCCGCAGCTTCGCTTGTTTTTCAAGCTGCCCTTCTTTTTTCTTGCCCTCGGTTTTTTTCTCGTTTTTTGTTTTCCGTAAATGCCTTTTAAATGTCCGAGATGTCCAACGCCTTTAGCTCCTTAAAAAATAGCCCCCTCGAAGGGTCAGCGCTGAATGTTTGACCGAAAAAGGGTTAGGCAAATATTTCACTTGAAGTTTAAGCCATTAAATCCGGGTCTAAATGTGGCCGGGGACGTGGAAGGGGTTACGGAGATCAGCTGCCTGTTGTTTAACCCTCCCCCACTTTGTTATCTGGCCAAGCAGAAAAGTGCACTTTGTTATCTTTTATTGCGCATTCTTTGCCGGCTCAACCCCCCTCCCCCACTGTTGTTGCTTTAACCTAATTTATAGTTTACCACACAAACAAACGGACATGGGATAGAGTTGAGCCCAGGTATACCGCACGTCTAGATCCTAAGTTGGCCGTTGGAGTAACAACCAACTATTGGCCAACTGCAATAAAACAAGCCGAAACACCAACAGAAGGAAGCCCCTCGAACACACACACATGCACACATATCTCCCCGCCGCAGTCACTCAAATCGATTATGCTAAAACAATATCCAGCAAATGGAGCCAGCACACACTCACATCAATTGGTTATCGCTAACTGGCATCTTCTGTAACTCCCAGCGGACTCCTCCCCATCCCCAACATCAAAAAGTTTACCGCCAAGCAGCGAAAGGAACAGCGCACAGTGGGGAGTATCAGTAAATGATGTGGTTAAAATTATAACAAAATGCTGAGCGAATGTATTTTAAAGTTAAAATGCCAAATTGGCAATTACTTACTAAGGTATAATATTAAAATAACATATACCAAAAATTTATAATAATCGTTGTTTTAAAAATATACCAGATGTAGCATAAGCCCAAATTTTATATTTTGTAGTATAAATTTCATACTAAATATTATAAAGTTTACATATTTATACCCGTTACTCGTAGAGTAAAAGGGTATATTAGATTCGTGCAAAAGTATGTAACAGGTAGAAGGAAGCGTTTCCGACCCCATAAAGTATATATATTCTTGATCAGGGTCACTAGCCGAGTCGATCTAGCCATGTCCGTCTGTCCGTCTGTCTGTCCGTCTGTCTGTCTGTCTGTCTGTCTGTCTGTCTGTCTGTCTGTCTGTCTGTCTGTCTGTCTGTCTGTCTGTCTGTCTGTCTGTATGAACGCTGAGATCTCGGAAACTATAAAAGCTAGAAGATTGACATTTTGCATGCAGATTCTAGGAGTTCCTACGCAGCGCAAGTTTGTTTCAAAAGGGTGCCACGCCCCCTCTAACGCCCACAATCGCTAATATACGATTTTAAAAATTTCAATATTTTGGAAAAGTAAAAATGCAGTGTTATTGTGTTTATCAATACCTATCGAAATGTAGAAGAAATTTTTTAAATCGGACCATTCGTTAAAAAGTTACGGCGGATCAAAGTTTTTCTCCATCTCCTTCGTACTCCCTTTAGCTGAGTAACGGGTATCTGATAGTCGGGGCACCCGACTATAGCGTTCTCTCTTGTTTTGATTGTACTTACTGAAATATTTTTTAACTCAATAGTTTGGAAGTATATATACAAGTAGTTCGGTGTCTATAATGTTTTTTTTTTTGTGAACGTTGCTTTTTGTTAATAAAAAACACAAAAACCTATTTTTGATAATGCAGAAGAATTTAATAAATTTTAAAACATCTTAAATATTTTCTAAACGACGATGACCGAAATGGCACGACAGAATGTGGTTCGTATTGTACTTTCATTTCTCCTTTAATGCTATCAATTTTTAATACATCTCCAGCATTACATGATTCATTTGATTAGACCGTTATACTTTTGAAAACCACTGTAGTCCCGAACGGAAATCGTTTAGTGGTAATGTGGAGCGTGGATCGCAGAGTGTGGAATTTTCTGTGGCGAGGGCAACGCGCTTTATGGACACTCCGTCGACCACGCCCACTACCGCCAGCAAACGCAAAAGCGCAACTTGAAATATTTATTGCACTTAACGAGCGAGCGAGACGGACTGAGTGGGAGCGGGATGCGTGCATGTGAGAGCAGATTTCACTTTTTCGGTAGCCGATTAGAGGAAAATGCGGGGAAAATGTGGAATTCTGCCGAGAAGGAAGAGCAGCGTGGCATGTCGAATGTAACCATCAACTGACTGCGATTGTCTGCTCACGTGCTTATCTGAAACTCGCTTTACCCACCCCCTCCCGTTTTTCACCCACAGCATTCCCTTTTCCGCTTTCCCGGCGGTTGCAGGGGGCTTCGGTGGGTTAACGTCTAGTGCATTGTTACGTGCCAAAGTTTTAGTGGCTAAAATAATGGAGCAACGGCAGGGGAAGTGCCCTACACCTACACTCATTCTATTTTTGCGGTCGATTAAGCAGTTCAATCTGCGAATGTTTTATCTTTCTTGGCATATGTTTGACGTGCCATCTGTATCTGCTCTTATAACTTTTAACTTGGCTTGAAGCATTCCACCAAGACCATGTAAAATAAGATTGGTAATGCCTAGGACCAAGGAAATTCAAGGCATAATAAACCGAAAACTTTGTTGGATTTTAGGAAGTGTACACACAAAAAAATTTGCTTGGTAAAATTGACCAACAAAGATAGTTACGTAACTATTAAAATAGTTACGTGTATTTTGTTTTTGCTTTGGGTTTGTGTCTTTGCTAATTGTGTGTATTTTGTTGTTGTGAAATGACTATTTACTTAGTAGAATTGACAATTTTGCTGGTTGGGGCCTGTTTGACAATTATTACAGTTGATTTTACTAAGTTTTTTTTTTGTGTGTATGTACCTGGGTTATGTGTTGTGTTTTGAGTGTGGAATTTTGGCTGCAAGGAAGTACAGGGAAGCACACAGATAACTGAAGGTGAAGTTTTGGCATTGAAAAGTTTTTAAACTATTATCATGAGTTCTATGGAATAATCTTAAATAACTGAGCTTCAGGCAGTTTTTAAAACACTTTTGTCATTTTAGTTTCGTGATATTTGCAATCTGAGCACTTGCGTAAGCCATTTTATATAAATGTTAATAATATTGTGCAGGGTTGATTAAGTTTTCATTAAGAATGTATGCCTTTTTTTTCTAATTTTCTTTTGACGATCTGAAACAGAGGCCAAGATTCTTACCTTGCCATTAAAACTTTCACCTATGAGAAGCCAAAGCTTACTATAGAACTTATTTGTCCTTTAGTTCTTGCCTCACAGAAGATATAGCATTGTCTACGAAGACGAGTATCTGAGTCTATCCTTCCCGTTGCTTTCCTATCCTCTCCTCAAACCACATATACCCCTGAACAAAACAATTCGGCTTACACACACAAGCAGACTATAAAAAACAAAGGAAAACACAGAAAAAAATACTAAAACAAAAATACAAAAGCTATATAAAGCTTGGATGGTTTAATGATTGAAAAGTTATAATAAGTAAAAATTAAAATCATTAAATATTTCCCTTAAATACTACTTCTTAAATACTTTTTTAAAACACTTGTTCTTTCTTTCCATGTAGGTTTATATAAACTTTCTCAAAGAGAGAAGAAAAGAGCCTGTGCATTGCATTGTTGGTTTGGTTTGGCTGGCACCACAGAAGTATGCAACGTTGTTTTTAATGTTTAGTTTGCGTTGCGACACCACCACGAGCACAAACATGGCTTTGTTCCTTTTCTCAGCTATAAGGGGATATAGGTATGTATATATGAGGTACTCACATCGACGCTAACACCAGGCAGCAGGAAGGTCTGGGCGGGCGGCATATCCCTCGGCACATAGCGGTAGAACTCGTTGCCATCCTTATACCATTTCACCGAGTAGAGGGCCTCGCCGTCCAGATCGTACAGACACTCCAACTGCGCCGCGGAACCCTTAATCACGTACTTCGGTATGCGGACCTCGGTCAGTTTCAGGCCTGAAACGCTGAAATCTGCAATAAAATTAAGGGATATAATTAAATTAAAGCGGATTTTAACCAAGTAACTATAACGCGATTAGGGTACATTGGTAATAAGAAAAGGTATAAATAGATATGGAAATATGTATTAAAAAGATTAATCTAAACATTATTTGAGTATAAAAATAACATCCATTAATTTATTATATTGCATTCAAGATGTCCGTACTCTCAATTAAACGATAAAGCTTTTCCACACCGCAAAATCCCTCCCACAAATCGAAAATTGTAAACCTTTTAAATTTGCATTTTGTTTTATTTTTCCAGGTGCTTAAAAACTTTAATTGGCGGTGGGCGCCTGATTGATTTATGTAGTTGGAAATTTTTAATTAATTACCAAAGTTTATTTTCACTAGAGCCCGTGTCAACTGACCGGCAAAATGAGCGATGGACTCAGCCCAAACCCTTTAGTGCATAATGTATTCGTAATATAATTTATAAAAAACATTTTTCCATTTTATCGGCCCGCTTTTCGTTTAATTTGTTAAAGTGCTTCGTATATTAAACCGACATATATATTAATAAGTCAGTGCGTTGACAGGAAATGATGTTTTGCTCTGGCGACATGATTGAGAGTCCCCGATTCATATATATTAGGTTGGGCGGTGCGGAAAACTTCTGAAGCTCACTGTGCCACTGCCCACTTGGACCGACTCGTTTCGAGTCTTGTTACATTTTATGGCAAACTTGTTTATTGTCAATATTGACAATGAAACAAGCTCACACACAATGGGCGGGGCTGAAATATAGTGGAGGAATATGGGATCTATACACACTTACGCCCAACCACTCTTTTCGGCATGTCCCACATTATTACACCGCCCGAGGATGACTGCTCACTTGGCCTCCCAAACCCCCAGTTTTCCACCAATCGTTGCACATTACAAGTGTAATAAAATGTGAGAGGATATTATTGTACACACAGGCAACGAAAAGGCAGGACACCCACAGGCCCATATCAATCTGTATGACTACATCTGTATCTATATCCCAATCTATATCTATATCTAACGCTATGACTTGCAATTGTTGTCCGTTCAGATGAGTTCACTTGAGTTGAGCTGAGTTGAGTGCAATGTCATGTCCCGTCGAAGACAGAAACATTTTGCAGGTCAAAATATGATGAGAGACACTTTGACAACAAGTTTTTCACTGATTTTCAATTAACTTATGGATAAGCTATTCAAACTGATTGAATTACTGGCAGGAAATGGTTCTAAAATGGCAAGTAAAATGCCAGAGGTTAAAGTCTAAAATGTTTATTATATTAAATAAAGCATTTAATACGGAACAAGCAAAAACAGTCAGATACAAAGTATTGAAGTTCAAAAAATGATTCAATTTTAAAATATGTAGATAAATGCATTTAAGATGTTGCCTTGAAGTTCCTAAAAATGTATCAACAGAAATGTAATTTGCTACGAACACAGAGTCAAAGAAGGGCAATATCAAATTTTATGAATAGGCCAGAAAAACGACACATGAAAAGAGCCGTAAATTAAAGTGAAAGTGAAAATAGAACTGACATCAAGCTTGCCAATAAACATGAATTGCACAGGTGCCAGGATATTTAAACTCTTGCCTGTGCATATACATTTATATGTCCTTGTAGCCATGGAGACACAAACACACACAGGTGAGAGAGTACGGAGTACTTTAAGCAGCCACTTGCAGCAAGTACTTTGCCACAATTTGCAGGAAAAGTTGCAACAAATGACAGTCAGTTCGGTGGAGGGGCAACACGAAGGGAAGAGAGACCGAAGGACATTAATGAGACTGCATGGGTGAAGTTTTTCGGTAGAAATCCTCTCCACAAGCTCCATGTCCTCTATGCGAAATGAACTCCTTTGGCGCACTGGCTGGCCAGCATCCAAAACAAAGAAAAATGCACACGAGAAAAGGTAAAATAAATACAGGAGAACGGAAAGCAAACAGAAAAACTTTCATATTATTTGGTTTTCCAGCGAATTTGGGTTACAAGCTCTCATTAATTCTGCTTAAGAGTCGAACTGCAAATGGAACTGTGACGCAAAAGCAGTGGCATAGCCAAACAGTCATGTTACCAGTTAAAAGACAACCGAAAGTTAAGGTTAAAACATTTAATTCAAAAATGTAGTTTTAAGAGATTTTTAAAGTTTATTTAGCATCGAGTAATTATTACAAAAAAAATTAAAATGTTCTTGAACTATTTTAAACAAATTTTGTTTTAACAAAATTCAGTTAAGTTTATCTTTTATTTAAAAAAAACTCAGAATGCTGAGGCCTCACTGTAACCATCAGTAGGAGCACCCGAACAGCTGAAGCATCAATAGAGGCAGCAGCAGTTTTACGAAAAGTTTTGCTTTTGGGTAATTTCAGTAACTTTGTCATTTGGGCGCCTTGGCACACTCACCAACACACTTAATATACGCTAGCACAGACACACCCATACACACATCGCACATGCAGAATGTCAACAGGGCACACAATAGCTGCTCCTGTATCCTTTGGTTCTTGCCGGAGTTGAAGTTCGGGTTTGAGTGGAATTAATATGCTCAGGCTGCGACCTTTGCCAAGTCAAAAATCAATTTCCCCATCACCCACACTTTGCGAAAAATATTTTATTAAAATAAAAATGCTATCACTTTAAAATAACCTTAACCTTTTTATATAGTATTTAGCAATTCTTAAGCAAAGAATAGCAAGCACTATAAGGTTTAAAATATTCATAGCCATTTCTAAATTTGGGTTTATCATAAAAAATGATCTGCAAATTATTAAAGTTGTTAATGAAATACACCGATAATTTATTTTTACTTTAAAAACTCAAATATTTCTATATAAGCATAAAATAAATTTTTCTCCGTGCACTTGCTTTGAGAAAAGTGAATTTCGTCCTTTCGTTTGCTCCTGCTTTTTCTTCTGTCAACTTTTTCTGTGGGCGACAAAAGTTTCCTTTCATACTTCATTGGGGTTAAGTGATTAAATTTGCAAAGGACACAAAAATTCCCAGAAACATTCGCAGTAGAAGTAACTAAAAGAGGGTGCGTAAAGCAGAATGGCAAAAAGAATGAGCGGAGAAGAAAGTAAAATAAACTTTTCCGCATATGACACGAAAATATATGCGGATCCACCGCCTCTTATATGATATCAGTCCCCTTATTTATGGGATGGGACGCGTGCATAATTGCTAACAAGTCGAAACTTTTGGTGGCAAATGGTTTCAGACAGCGCGTTTCACTGCTTAAAGAGTGACAACTATTCTTTAAGAATGCATTTAAACCTGAAATAGGTTAGTTAAGTGGATAAATAACACTGTGCAGCATTTTTAGTGCTTTTTAAATTTACCTCGATGGATTCTATATTTTTGGATTCGTTACGAATTCCCAAGTTAAACTGCGTTTTCCAAAAAGTTCCCCGACGCAAGGATTCTTAGCAAATGGACCTCAAAGTTCGAAAAATGCTGAAATTGGCCAACTTTGCGGAGCTCTCAGAGGCAAATGGATGCATGGTTTGATTCGATGTTAAAGTTTTTTAAAAGATACGCCCTTTATCTTTTAAACCCCATACTTAAAATAATTTTAAGATTTTTTTTAAGGCAGAAACAAATTCTAGAAAACATAGTCAAAAAACATAAAAGTATACAGCTGCGGTCAAAATGGTAGTAGTGTTGCCGCCCTGTGTATTTAAAAGTTTGTTGTTGTAATTGATCTTTTCCTGGTAATATTGTATAGATTATAATTTTACTATTAGACTAATTGGATAAGAAAAAATTACAACATCAAACTTTTAAAAACACAAGGCGGCAACACTGCTACTATTTTGACCGCAGCTGTATGTTTTTCAGTTTTTTGACTATGTTTTTTGGAATTTATTTCTGCCTTAAAAAAAATCCTAAAATTATTTTATGTATGGGGTTTGAAAGATAAGAATCAGCAGCTAAGAATCCTTGCGTCGGGGAACTCTTTGGGAATTCGTAACGAATCCAAAAATATAGCATTCATCGAGGTTAATTTTTGATGCTGCATAGTGTAATTAATTCTAGACGTTGTGTTATTTGGAAAAAAATTTATTAACGGAGATGTCACAGAAATAATTTCGAAATATTAATGCACAAAACCAACCGTTTTTGGTTGGAAACTATAAATTTTTTTGAAATAATATTTCACACTCAACAGTAAGTTAAGTGCATAATATATTGTAAATTTTAAAACTATTTATATTTTCTTTTATTTTGAAAATATCAAACATATGTATGGTAATTTAGAATTTAAAGTTTTAAAACAATAAATCAACTCTTATAGGCATGTTTTTCACTACAAATTGATTCTATATTGCCCGCTGTGCCTGTTAATAGGCGACAAATCATGTTTGATTCCGATTCGCCTTTGGGGATACTCTCAAAAATGTCCCCATCTCAACTGTTGCTGCAGCGCCCCCTGGCGGTGCTTGTTTAAGCTGTCATCGGTTTTGAAGCTCCTGAATTTCAGGGTAATGGGCGGGGGTAAACCAATGCTTGGGGCAGGTCACTGTGTCCGTATCGTTACACTATTGCCGGACATCTTTAATCTTTGGCAAAAAGTTAGCCTCGTTAGGGAGTTGGCCTTTTTTGTTAGGCCGAGGCGCTTTTTTCTTTCTATTTTTCCAGCTTTTCCCTGTCCCCTAGGTTCCCCATGTCGAAACCTTAGCCTGTAGGATACCTCAATTTTTTTGGGTCCTCGGGGCCGGTTCAGGCTTAATATCCGCTGCCAGCGCTTTTGTTGTTGTTGCTGCTCGTCTTTGGTTTATTAGTAGTTCGTGCCAGGACACCAAGGATGCCAGGATACCAGGATAGCAGGGCAGTAGATGAAAGGAGCCGGCAGCCGAAGCTGTTTGCCTATGTAAATGTCTGCACATGAGCCAGGACTATGGACCATCCTCATCCGCATTCTCATCCTGCCAGGCAGCCAACCAGCCAGCCAGGACAAACAATGGCAGTGCGTGTGCATGGTCCTGCCTCGACTCCTTCGCCTTCCCCACTGTGGCCAGTGCCCGAGGTAGCAATATTTGCTTTCTCCGCTCTCATCATTTGCATATAATGGCTCTGTAAAAGTTCATAAGGATCTGGCCAGGATGCGGCGGTCGGGGATGCGGGGCGGTGCCTGCAATTCGATTGCGGAATTTAATAAAAACCCGTTGCAGGCAATGCATTCCCTGGGATTGAAAAATACTACAGTAGAAGCCCTGCTAGAGCAAAAATATCCATTTGGGCAGCTATTTGTCTGATTCATTATCGGCAGAAATTCTATGCTTTGAGTATTTTCACAATGGTTTTTGAGAAAAGGATTTGCTTTTGAACTTCGACCTACAACTTTAATGTTTAGGAACATATTTATTTTATAAAACATGCAAAATTTAAAGAGGTGAAAAAGGTATTAACAAATTTAAGACACACTATATCTATTTCTTAAATTTACCTGAAGATTTTTCCTATACACGGTAACCTTTTATATGCAAATTAAGTAAGTTAATGGAATGATTACTGTATCCTTAAACGATATAACGGAAGCGTGATCTAAACAAACTGAGTCGAAACTGAAATCAAAAAGGGTTAAACGTTGAAAGCCAACGTTTTTTGCTGCAAAAATATTTTGACCAGCTCAGATTCTGACTCAGCCCTGCTATCTGTTCCCGGACCCTCGGGGATGGGCAAAATATTCGCGATTCTCGCTTGGCCTGACTTTAATGTGTCTGGGGGCCGAGGGGCGGCGGCTGGCTTGGGGGCGTGGCAGGCAGCGCAACAATTACTTCAGCCCTCCCCGGGGCAACATCAAAAACAGGGTGGGGCTTGAA